AAAATAAAGTTTCCCCGTTAAGTGTTGGACTGTAGTTTAACTTGAGGTTTTTGAACTATTTTACTACCAGTATGATCCTTTGGTTGGCAATATTTTTTGCTGTGGTTTGTCTTTTTTTTTTTTAGCTTAACCATATAGTTTTTAATTTTTCTTTTTCTATTTCAACTTTTCATTTCTTTGTGCTAGCAGCAGGATGATTTCTCAAATAATATGATCTTTAGGATGCAAGTCCAATGAAATCATCTAAACTTGGGTCATGCCCTTCACTTTGGGGGAGAAGGGTGCTGTCCCCTCCCTCCCATTCATTCATGTCTTCTGCGTTCACACAATACGTTACACACTGTCTGGGGACTTTTGTTTAAACCAATGCATCCTTTGACAATTTCACACATGTATATAACAACGAGCCATGCTCCCTCTGCCTCTTTCATCTGCTCCACCAAACCCCTTCCTGGGAACAGGCTTCCGTGCTCCTGAATCTTTGTTTCACTTTGTCCTCATTCTGTGCCTCACTGAAGTCAACCTGGGTGTCGCACGGACATGGAAGTGGATGGAGCTATGCACTTGACCATGTGAGCACACCACTGAAGACAACGACTGCCCTTACAGCAACCATCGGCTCAAGGAGGGGCTAGGCTCCTTGAGTTCGGATGGATGGGGGCTTTTTAGGTAATGTTTCCAATATAGTTGTACAGGTAAAGAATCTAATCTAAAGCCAGAAGAGAGACATGCCCAAGCTCACTGACATAGTAGGTCGTAGGGATGACCCCCCCCCTCACTGTCTCCTGCTCTCTCACTACTGGCCTTGCACCTCAATGTATCAGGTCAGACAGGGCTACTTTTGACCTTCGAAGCAGGCTTGCTTTAATAGAGTGGGATTATGGCCACAGAGGTGAATTGTTTAGTGAAGGGAGGCAAAAAACAAAACAGTTTAGATAGGGCACTAAAACTTCTCCTAGGGTTTATTGTGAAATTTCTTTCTGTATTTTGTTGATCATAGACACATTTACTTCGAATTCCTTATTTTTTTGCAAAGCCTTATTAAATATATTAAAAATTTTAGAGTCAGTAATTATTTCCAGTCGCATTTATTACCTGTTTCTTAATGTTGCCAAAATACACGTATCTAACCTGACAAGTACAAGCCTTCCAGTCAGGAATTTTGCACCTGTAGAATTAGAAGTTTTGCCTTGCAGTGGAATGAAATTACCCAGGACCTGAGAAACTTGTAAGAACAGTTTCTTTAATGTCGCAACTGTTGAAAGAATGTTCTAGAGGAAAAGATAAGCTTTGTCAGATGTGCTTGTATCTCCAAATCTCGTACTGAATAATATGTTTGCAGAGAAATACAGATAGACAAAAAATTTAAAAGTCTCCTTTGAGTAAGCTACAATATAAAGTAGCATAACCTCATACTGATAATAAAAACAACCCTTTTATCCAGAATTCACACAGTGGTCACGAATATTTGTGGATATTTGACTGAAAAAAGTTATATATTTATTTCTTAATGCAGTGGACATATGTATCTGCCTATATAGCCAAGGTATGTTAGGATAAATACATTATTTTTGTGCTGTAGAAGCTTACATGTGATAATCAAATTTTATGAAAAGTTCTTCAGTGCAAACGACAACTGGGAATAGCAATTTCATACTCTGCGGGTTAGTGTGTTCTTTTGATATTTAAAATAAGCACAATAAGGAATTATGACAAATATTTTCACTTTTAGTGAAAATTATAATTTTGTAATATATATTTCTAAAAAATCTTTATTACCTTACATGTTTAATTAACTAGTTATTGACTGCATGCATATGTGTGTGCATGTGTGCATGCATGTGTGTGTGTGTGTGTGTGTGTATGAAGCATGTGTGCCATGGTGCACATGTGGAAGTTAGAACAGATCACTATAAAATCAGCTCTCTCTTTTCACATGTATGACTCTCCCAGAGATAGACTGCAGGTGGCCAGGCTTAGCAGGCAAGCAAGTTTACTGACCTTCAGGGGATTATCTCTCTCTCCATCTTGTTTTTGAGGCAGGATCTCTCTTATTTCTACCCCTGTGCTGCTTTCACTGAGCTCTAGGTTCCTTCTCTTGTCTCTGTGCCCACCATATCACAGCAGTGCTGGTGCTAGAATTACAGACATAAGCCGCCACATCATCGGTTCCCAGTGTTGAACTCAGGGCATCTGGTCTACACAGCATGTGCCTTTACTCACTGCATTTCACCAACCCAGAAAATAAACTTTTTAATTCATCACTTTATTTTTTTAATAACATAATTCTTTATTGATTCTTTGGAAATTTCACATCAAGCACTCGAAACCCACTCACCTTCTAATCCTGCCATAGTCACCCCCACCTCTGCAGCTTTCCCCTCCCCCCAGCCAAAAAAATAAAAAGATTGATTCAGAGCAAAACAAACAAACACAGAGCACCTCACTTCTCCATCTTTCCAAAAGCTCTTCACTCATCCTCATGACATCGGGAACTACAGGGCATCACTCAGTACACCCTTTGTCCAATCAGCCCCACCCACAAAATTCTCATTGGTCTGGTTCAAGGCCTCTGGCACACCATACACTGGACCCTCAGCATAATTCATCACTTTAAATGAACAATTTTCGAGTACCTGCTGCAATTATTGCATCATTATGTGGTAGCTAACGATTATTCTTATCTGCAATGTGAGTAAGTAGTTATTAATGCTAGTAACAATTACTAATGCAATTCTTACTGTCCAAGTCTATATTAATATCTACATTTTTAAGTAGACTTTGAAATTCAGGGAACCTCTGTAAACTAGCCCGAAGACGCAGAGTAACAGTAGAATTCGATTGCAAGTGAAAACGCCTGTAAGTTGCCCAGTCGTTATATCACCACGTACATTCCACAGCTGTATCTGTTGAAGTCAGTCATTAAAATGATGTGAGTTTTCTGCAGTGTGTGTCAGTCTGAGCGTTTACAAGCTGACCCACCCATCTCCTAGGAGAACGGTGAAGGTCATGGAGCCAGCCTAGCTGCTTGACAAATTCCAGCAAAACTGAGTCACAGGCTATATGGTCTGTGATGCCCTTTACTCTCACTTTGTATCTCTGGGAGGGCTATTGGTATAATGATTTCTGTATACCCCTGAAGAAGTCTTCAACTGCTTTCAGGGAAGTGACCTTAGTTGACCCTACTTGGGGGTCTTCTCTCTGCCTTGGAGATTGTTATCTGCCCCTACACAAACTCAAGAACAAAATCATTAGAACCCTGTGAATTCAGAAGAGGCTAAATAAGTTTAGTAGGCTAGGAGAATTAGCAGCAGATCAGAGGACAAAACTCCTTTACAGTGTACTTAGAATTTCTTAGGAATATAACCTACAAGATAGAGGACCACGTATACATTAAGCCTCTCAAATGAATCTAGCAATAAGAGCTAGAATGACTAGACTTACAAAACAGCATATATAGGTGATGTAAGAATGTCACAGAAGAATAAAGAAGGATAAGGTATTAAGGTTTGTCATTTCTAAAAGGATTGATTGACATCAGGTTGCTGTGATGTTACCACATTTAGAAACAAAAAAAATCTTTTATTTAACAAATTCTTATAAGATTATAAATACACATAATACTAAGAATTGAACAATAGCTCCAGCAGTTCATAAGCCTGAGAAAGATTTCAGACTCAGTCTAATTTGCAAGTAATATGACTGACCATTAAAAGTTAATAATAAAATGCCGAACACACAGTGATTTGCCTGCACTGTCTCAGGTATTATCTAAAACATCCTGAAATCACGAACTGCTGCCAGCCTGAGAACAGGCTGCTATGTTATGCTTGCTTAAGCTGAAATAATCTGTAGAATATTTCTATTCTAGGAATAGGGATATGGGGTTGATAAGAAAATCTCTTTCATCTGGACTAAACCTATAACCCCAGGTATACTAGAGAAGTGTGCTCAGGAAAAAATGATGTGATCTGTATCTCTTGAAAAGTCATGAATATTTTTGAACTCTGTATAAATAAATTTTCTGACTGTTAGTCTGTCAGATTTGCAAAATCTTCCAGTCTGGGCATCTGACTCAACCTTCCCCTCATCTGTTCCTTCTGTCCTCTCAGGAGCCCACTCACTGTTGGGGCTGCCCCTCCCCCACAAAAAGCAATCAATGATGTTAAGCTTTGTTGGGAAGAGCAGTTTCAGTGGGAGAGGAAGAAGGGGGGCATGGAAGAGGGTCCCTGGCAGGAATGACTAAAAGTCATTATATATACATGCAAGCATGAAACTATCAAAAAATTAAAAAATGAAAAAAAAATGCTATGTCTCTTTTTTGTCTTTCCAGGATTACGTCATGTCAAAATACAAACTGATTTATTTTAATATAAGGGGGAGAGCAGAAATTATTCGTTATATATTTGCTTATTTGGACATAAAGTATGAAGATCACAGAATAGAACAAGCTGACTGGCCCAAAATCAAACCAAGTAAGTACCATAAACCATTCAGATTAATGTAGGGAGAATGTATTTCAGGGGTTTTCATCCTTCCTGCAGGAAATGCAAGCCCTATCCTACAGAGCTTCACACTGAGAAACATCAGTTCAGGTAAACCAAGCAGATGCATACTGCTCTCTAAGCTTGCTCAGGATTTTATCATCTTCTTTCTCAATAGATTAATCAGAACTATAGAAAGAGCTGGGCAGCTGAGGTCAGCTTGAATATTGCCTCTACCGAGAGCAGACATTATTTCCTTATTGAGGAGACCACAGTTAACACCATCTCTCAGGGCTGAGGGCTTGGAGACTGATGTGCATGTGACAGTTTCATCCTGCATTCCCTTTCAAGCTCCACATGCCACCTCTCCCCTGTGTGCTTGAGATGAAGCCCATCAGTTCACATCCATCGTATTTGGAGTTCTGTCCTGCTCACAGCCCTTCAGGGCCTTGAACAGCACTTGCTTTACTCACTGGGCTGGTCATCAAAGTTGTGCTTTTCCCCCAAAGTGAAAGGATTTGACTTTGTGCTCACTTGGTGTATGTATGGAGGTTTGGTCCCAGTCCTTGTGTGAGTCCTACGTGACGTAGAATCTATACTTCATTCTTTTTCTTCTTAACCAAAATAGTTATGTGCCCAAACCTAAGATACTAAGTTGTAGTCAATATGCATGCTAAAGCCCTGTATGATCATTGAAATGATGGTGGTCTGTTGATTCAGAAATGTTTCAATGATAGCATCAAGTGAAAAAGGGACTTTGTATAATAATATCCCATGCACTGTACTTTTTTAATATTTAGTTTTTCATGGCTGAGACAGAAATGGGGGAAGAACATAGAGAAGAAAGGATGTATTCAGAGGTTTCAGTGTAGTCTGCTCACTGCTTAGGGCCTGAGGAAAGAAACGCCATGGTGGCAAGGACATGATGGAACAGAGCTGCCCATTATGTGAGAGCTGGGAGCAGAGAGAAAGCAACGGGGAGGTTACAACTGAAGTGGAAGGCAAGTCCCCAGCAGCCCACTTCCTCCAGTAAGGCCCTACCTCCCTCAGGGCCACTCACAGCATGCATCTGAAACTGGAACTGGTCAATAGAATAAACTGTTCACTGGATCTGAGATGCATTATCTGATGTCTGTGGAACGACCTTCAGAGAAGGGTGTGAGTGCTGATGCAGGCATCCCTCAACCCAATCAAGTTGACATGATTAACTAATACAAAATAGAAAGTTAATTAGAATGCTACAATCACTATAACTACCTGGTAGAAATATTTTTAAATTTTATGAATTTTCTATAATAAAAGTATATTGCTTTCTCACAAAGGTAAAAAGTTCAAGTAAGAAAAAGGTGGAAGTTACTGATTACTATGAATGTTACCTACTATAATGGTCTTATATTTGTACAAAATGCTTCTGCCTTTTATTGTATGCCTCACAATGCTCTTCATCAAAATAAGACTAGTATAAAACTTCCTTAGCTCATGTGTAAGTCAAAATCTATAATTGCTGGAATATGTTTTAAAGTAACTGATGTGATCTATTTTGAGACAATAAAATTAACATAGTTTTAAAGCAGGTATTTATAAAAGTGAAGTATCTGGATGAAGAGTCAGCTCACTGATCAAGAGCAGTTACTACTCTTGCAGTGGACTAGGGTTCAGTTTCCAGCACCCACATAGTGCCTCACAACCATTTGTAACTTCAGTTCTAGGGGATCCGATGCTCTCTTCTGGCCTCCAAAGGCACTCCAGACACATGGCACACTTACATACATGCCAGCAAAGGACATACACACACATGAGTAAGCATTTTAAAGAGTACTAAGTTTATAGATAAATCTATAATGAGACAATTCAGAAGTGTAACATGTGGTATCCCTGTAAACAATTTTGATATTGTTTTTATGTTGAGACAGTATCCAAACTCAGTATCTAAAATGAGCTAGAACCGACGATCCACCTACCTTTGTCTCACAAGGGCTAAGGTTACAGGCATAAGCCAGCACACCCAGTTTATGCAGCATTGGGGATCAAACCTAGAGGCTTGTGTGAGACCTTTTGCATATCAGCGGACACCCTACCAACGAAGCTACATGGACCATGCATACATGATTTTTATCACTAGTTCTTTAACTGACTTTATATCCAATTTTTAAATCTGCTGAAAGGTAAAGACTGCACTAAAGAATGTGAAATTGTCTCTTTTAAGAAGAAATGTTTTGAGGGGCTTGGATAGAGCTCAAGCAGCAGAGTGCTTTTGTTTTTAAACATAATTCGTTGTTGATTCTTTGGGAATTTCATACCATGTACATTTGGGAATGTCACTCACTGCCCAGGCCCTCCATATCTGCCCCTCATCCCTAGAGCATGCCCTTCAAAAGAACTGCCTCCAAAAATTATTAAAAGCAAACAAAATAAACAACAACAATAAAAATCTATCTTAGTCCTCTGTCTTTCCCGCCTCTCTATCACCTCTTCATGCATCCTAGTGGCATCAGGGGCTGCAATGTGCCTTGCACCATGCCTTTTGTCCAATTAGCCCCACCCAAAAAAAATGTTCATTTCAGGGAGTCTTTGGTCTGGTTGTCAAGGCTTCTAGTGCACCATCATCACTGGACCATCACCAAAACTCCCCTCAGGGATCCTGCTGTTGCCCCAGTCATGGATATCCTGCAGTTGAAATCTTGCTGAGCTGGCCTTGCCCTTCACTGACCCTGAGATATCTGACCCTTCCCCTCACAGCAGGAGGAGGGCTGATCCCCCACACTGGCCCTTGCATGGAGAGAGTTGGCGCGACCCCTCACCATCAGCTTGGAAGAGCTGGCCCAGGTGTCATGGACCTAAGAGAGCTGACTCTGCCCCTCACTTGAGGGGTGTGGTCCCGGTAGCCTAGACTTACCTGCTCAGCTACCATCCAGACCCACATCCTGGGCCTTTCGGTTAGCCCACTGTCTTAGTTAGGGTTTCTATTGATGTGATTAAAAACACCATAACCAAAAGGCAAGTTGGGGAGGAAAGGGTTTATTAGGTTTACACTTCAGCATTGCTGTTCATCAATTGAAGGAAGTCAGGACAGGAACTCAAACAAGGAAGGATCCCGGAGACAGGAGCTGATGCAGAGGCCATGGAGGGGAGCTGTTTACTGTCTTGCATCCCCATCCCCTGGCTTGTTCAGCCTACCTTCTTATAGAACCCAGGACTAGCATCCCAGGGATGGCACCACCCACCATGGGCTGTGCCCTCCCTCATTGACCACTAAATGAGAAAATGTTTACACCAGTATTTCAAGGGGGCATTTCCTCAGCTGAGGTTCTTTCCTCTGATGACTCTAGCTTGTGTCAAGCTGACACACAGAACCACCCAGTACACCCACCCTAACAACTATCCAATCTATGACCTGCTCATGTGCCTGAAGAGACTAGTGCTTCTTAAAATACTTTGAAGCTTGTAAATATATGTATATGTGTATATTCTATATTTGTAGTAATAAGTGTGGCGGGGCTGTGTCCCCAGAACCCCAGCCGCCTGCTAGCTCATGCCCGAAATAACAACACACAAACTGTATTCATTTAAACACTGCTTGGCCCATGAACTCTATCCCTTACAGGCTAATTCTCATATCCGGATCAACCCATCTCTAATAATCTGTGTGGCATCAGTCTTACCGGGAAAGATTCTAGCCTACGTCCATCCTGGGTCAGAGTTCATTGCGTCTGCCTCAGAGAGCAGAGCTGGCGTCTCTGCTCAAGAGCAGAGCTGTCGAGTCTGAGCTCACTTCTTCTTCCTCCCAGCATCCTATTCTGTTTACTCCTCCCACCTATGTTTTAACGTATCAGGGCCAAGGAGTTCCTTTATTGCCTAACCAGTGAAATCAACAGATTGATATATGACACTCCCACATCATATATTTAAGACTTTTGTGATGTATATGATACCTTGCTTCTATTGTTTTGGCTTCTCTCAACCTTCCCGGTTCTGCTCAGAAGCTGACCCTTGGCTTGTTCTGTTTTAGCTCTTCCATTTGGCAAAATCCCTGTTTTGGAGGTAGGAGGACTGATGCTTCACCAAAGTCTCGCAATAGCAAGATACTTGACCAAAAACACAGGTAATGTACTTACTGTAGTTAAGACTTTGATTAACTGAAAAAAAATGTGATGTTTCTTTGATATTTGTTTAATAACTGTATTTTTTAACTATGGTGTAATTAGGAATGGCTCTGAAGATTAGAACATTATAAATGTACCATCTACATCAGTAGAACTTTCTATGAATACTGTAGACAGCTATTTTATTTTGTTATCTCATATTTTCATATGTAGGGTTTTACTGTGTTGTCTTAGCTTACCTGTTATTTGCTATATAACCCACAGTGGCCTTAAACCCTTGATCCTTCTGTAGCAGCCTACTCCATGCTTGAAACACAGGCATGTGCTGCCACATCAGACCACATAATCTCACTTTGTACAGTACCCTCCCCCTCCTGTATCACTTGATATTGCCATCATGTTGTTCCAAGAATCTAGCTGGAAAATTGGATTGGTATGTCATGCTAGTGTTGAGTGTTATGATTATCCAGAAACACACACAGCACATGAAGGCAGGAACTTGTTTGACAATTCAATCATAATTCAGTGTCTTTCATTCAGAGCATGCTCAGAAGACTAGAAAGATGGCATCCTTGCCTCTACTGGCTTCCATGGGTCTTCTTAGCTTGCACACAGTGGAATGAGCAGAAGTAACAGAGATGGCCCCTGCCTTCCTCTCTTCATGCTCCACTCCTATTCCCTCTTCTGCTCTCCCCACTTTAATATTTTTAGTAAAAAAGCAAGTACTTTGGATTTTTTAAGCATTTTTCTTTTTAATTAGCATGCTAGAATCACTATTTTCCATTTTCAGCCTTTCCATTTCACTGCACTGATACCACCTTATGATCCAAGCATGCTGAGCACTCGAGTGACCCATAGGGATAAGATTCCCATTTTAAGAACAAAGATATTTATTTTAAAGACATAAAAGGGGCTGGAGCTTGGCTCACTATTAAGAATACTTAATTCTTTATTAACCTATATGCTTTGAGCCTATAGCAGAGCAGAACAGAGATAGGTGGAAAAAATTAAACTGAATGCTGGGAAAAAGAAAGCAGAGTCAGAGAGAAGCCATGTAGCCCCACTGGAGACAGATGCTGGAACATTACCAGGTAAGCCACAGCCACATGGTGATATACAGATAATAGAAATGGGTTAAATTAAGATGTAAGAGTTAGCCAATAAGAAGCTAGAACTAATGGACAAATCAGTGTTTTTAATAATACAGTTTCTGTGTGATTATTTCGGGTCTGAGCTGCCCGGTGGCCAGGAAATGAACAAGCGGCCTCCCACAACAAATACTCATTGCTCTTGCAAAGGACCTGGTTTCAGTTCTCAGCATTCACAAGGTGGTTCACAACTATCTGTAACTCCAGATAATCCCCAGATTCCAGGGGATCTGATAAATGACTTTTGACCTCTGTGGGTACCAGGCTCAACACATAATAAGCACCCTTTCATACAGGAGAACAAAACGCTAATGCACATAAGATAAAATAAATTTAAAAAAAATTAAGCACACACAAAAAAACTGTGTAGTGAAAAGTCAAAGGATATGGAATATGTCCTGGAAGTTGGGCTTAGAAGAGAAAAGGGTAATGGAGTCAAGCATCAGAGGATACCTAGGGTTCCAAGTCCTCCACTTTTGTGTGCATCAAAGTCTCCTTGGGGCTTCTGAACACATCTTCCTTGCTTCCAGATTTGATTCAGGAGGCTGGAGTAGGACCCTGAAAAGTTTGTATTATTAAGGATTTTCCAGATAGTGCTGAGAAGGCAAATAGACCTCCCTCAGACTCACCAGACTACAGCATTACAAGTAGAGAGGAAAAGGCACAAGAGAAACAAACAAACAAGAACCTTCATGTTTGCAGGGTAGAGAAAGAGGGATGTTTAGCAAAATACACTGGACCCAGTTAGAAAGTCGAGGGTATGGGCCTCCCTAACAGGTGTAGGTTGTTACCCAGAAAGGTGGCACACTCAGAAGCATGACTACAGGACAGTTACTCTGGTGATAGTTTGTTCTTGATTGACCAGACTGTCGGTCACACATTAGAGGTTTTTAAAGTAGTCCAGATGGCATTAGAAAGAGGAGTGTGGACACTATGAGAAAGTAAACAGAACCTTTGTAGGGCTGGGCCACAGGTAACGGCACGAGGGCACAGTTGTCAGGCTTTGTTATTGCCAAAGCACTGGGGACACCCACTACCACCCCGTCTTTGCCCTCTCTGTTCTTTGTAACTACTTTCTTCAGTTGCCAATACCCCTAGCCCTATCAGGTTTGCCAACCAGAGGAGCCAGGCATGCAAGGAGTCTCTCTCGTTCAATACACGCTGGAGCTACTGTGGGACCAGCTCAAAGTAGGAGCCTTGCACTTCTGGAATGAAAAAAAAAAAAAAAAAAAGAACAGTTGGTTTGAGGTGTGGTGTCTGGTAATTTGATGCCGGAAGTTCAGGAGGGAAAACAGCTCCAAATATTTGCCAAGAGGCCTGACAGATGCCTGAATTTAGAACGAGGGTTGTCCACAGAGGCATTAGCTCCCCGGAAGTAACAGCTAAAGCCTGCACCACAGAAGTCAAACCAGGGCTCAGAGAAAGTGAGGAGCCTGTGACATGCTTTTTCAGGCTGGTAAGTTAAACCCATCCTTGGAAATCACAAGTATGTGAAGCAAGCATGTCCCTTCACCCTGAACAGCTCCACTCGGGCTTTGTTTATACGATCCTTGCATCGTCAGCACGGAATGCCTTATGCTTAGTAATTTAATACAGTTATACAAAAAAATAAGAGCAATCGGTTTACAAGGCTTTCATGCTAAATCATTTAAACGGACGCCCGTGAAGAAGAGTTTAGAAAGATCAATGACTTAGGAAAAATTATCTGGAAATTATTAGAAAAAAATAAACAAGTGAGTGAAAAACAGTTGCCAGCCACTGTTTACTCTTTTTCTATCGAAGGCCTTGAAGATCGTGTACATTGGGGCTGGAGAGATGGTTCAGCAATTAAGAGCACTGACTACTCTTCCAGAGAACCCACACTGGGTTCCCAATACTAACAAGGCAGCTCAAAACTGTAACTCTAGTTCCAGGGATTCCATGCCCTCTTCTGAGATGCTAGCATGTGGGGCACTTGCACACAAGCAGGCAAAACACTCACGCACATAAAAATTAAAATTAAAAAGAAAAAGTCTTAAGAATTCTGCAAGTTTTTGTGACCTTTCTTTTTCTTTTTCTTCCCAATTTCTTTTAAGCCATGGGGGCTCTTGAACCTCGGCTTTCTTCCTGAAGGAAATGTTTTAGTTTGAAGGGAATGATTGGAAAAAACATTCCATCCAAAACACAGAAACAATGTACAGCAGCCTCAAACGGTTTAACCATAGTGGGTATCTGAGCATCAGTAGCCCCAGCTCCCAGGATGCAGCTGCAGTTGCCATGGTTATCATCTTTGTGTTGAAATGCTTACAATTGCATGACTGAGCTCTCTTTGGCTCAAGCATTTTGTTATCCCAGGATTAAGATATTCTATCATTTTCCTTTTTTTTAATATTTATTTATTTACTCATTATGTATACAGTGTTCTGTCTGCCTGTATGCCTGCAGGCCATTTTGAAAAGTGCACCATATCTCATTATGGATGGTTGTGAGCCACCATGTGGTTGCTGGGAATTGAACTCAGGACCTTTGGAAGAGCAGGCAATGCTCTTAACCGCTGAGCCATCTCTCCAGCCCTATTCTATCATTTTCAAAGTTGATTTCTTTTCTTTCTTTCTCTCTCTCTCTCTCTCTCTCTTTTTTGTGTGTGTGTGTTATTGTTGTTTTGTTTTCTTTTTTGAGACAAGGTTTCTCTGTAGCTTTGGAACCCGTCCTGGAACTAGATCTTGTAGACCAGGTTGGCCTCGAACTCACAGAGATCCGCCTGCCTCTGACTCCTGAGTGCTGGGTTTAAAGGCGTGCTCCACCACTGCCCGGCCTAAAGTTGAAATTTTATGGTGAAATCTGGGGTCAGATTTTAATAATAGGGCATAGACTTCTAGAATTTTTCGCAGCTCCACCTCCAGCCTCTGTCTTCTGCCTTACAACTGTTTTACACTGTTTCGCTTTCTAAAGTATGGCTATGCTGCCTATTTGACATGTTAATAGTAAATTAAAGTGAGTATGTTCGTAGATGCAAAATGGCCTCTTTCTATCCCATAGATCTGGCTGGGAAGACAGAAATGGAGCAATGCCAAGCGGATGCTGTCGTGGACACACTGGACGATTTCATGTCGCTTTTTCCGTGGGCAGAGAAAAACCAGGATGTAAAAGTAATGTGATAAGCTTACTATCATAACTGGGGCTAACCATGTATCACTGCTAGAAATTGCTTACAGGGCTCTACAACATTTTTAATTCATGTAATATGAAATATTATATATATGGAATATATACCTTTAAAAATGAAGGCAAGGTCAATGGTTTCCTGCCGTTCTTTGTGCTAACTCTTCTTCAAACACTCTTTAAAAATGTCTGTGCATGTGAACCTTTGGGGATGCATATATGCCGTGTGCATGCAGGATCCTGCCCAGGCCACAAGAGGGAGTCCCTGGAACCAGAGTTCCAGACGGCTGAGGCAGTCCTGTGGGTGCTGGGAAGCAAACCTAGGTCCTGTGCAGAAGCAGTAAGTGGTTTACCCAGGAGCCATCCCTCCAGCCCACAGATCCAGCTTTTAATACTTTCTGCTCTTCTCTGCTATTTACACACCTTCCTTTCTCTATTCTTCCTTTTCTTCTCTTTTTAAAAGTTTGTGTGTGTGTGTGTGCGCGCGCGCCCGCGCGCCCGCGTGCACATGTGTATTGCTGTACATTCCCACACAAGTCACAACATGGATGTGAGGTCAGAGGATAACCTTCGGGAGCCAGCTCTCTCTTTCCACCATGTAGGTCTCCAGAACTGAACTCAGATCATCCCATCTGGTGGCAAGTGTTTTTACCTACTGAATCATGTCACCAGTTAATGCTCTCTCTCTCTCTCTCTCTCTCTCTCTCTCTCTCTCTCTCTCTCTCTCTCTCTCTCTCTCTCCCTCCCTCCCTTTCTCTCTCTTTCTTTGAAATAGTTCATTATGTAGACTACAAATGTGTGCCATTATATTTCTGTAGCATATACAAATATAATTTGATTTACCAATTATAGAAAGTTCTTATAGACTTCTTAAGGAATCTGTAATTTTTGTCTCTTTCCTTCTCTTTTTATTAGACAGTTTTTATAGCTGAGGCTAGCCCCTAACTCACTATCTAGCTGAGGATGACCTTAACCCCTGACTCCTGGTCCTCCCAAGTGCTGGAGGTACAGGAGTACAGCACCACATCCAGCTGGGAATTTACCTCTTCCTTTGTCATCTTTCCTGCTTCCTTTTCCCTAAGCTCTCTACATGGTGATAATAAAAATCTTTGAGCTAAAATAATCTTCTAGGATTACATAGCTTTGTATATGCAAATACAGACTGTGCATGGTAGTGTTTCAGTAATACTTTCTTTCTTACTTTTTTTTCCTCAAAGTCAGGTTTTTACCTTTGCCTAATTCATTTTACTTTTTTTTTCTAGAAACTTTCTACACTGTCTGGTAGACATTTCCCTCAAATTCAATGATATCAGCCTGCCTTCTCTTTCCAGGGTTTCTGGGTGTAGCTGCCTCTCTGACACTTTGCTGAGCTTTCTGTACTCAAGGCCTTCCCTGCCCTGCAGCCCCGTGGGTCTCTACAGAACCTTTGTCTCGGGCCTTCCTGTGACACCATCCCTGCCAGGCCTTGCTTCTGGGACTGAGTCTTGTTTCCAGGGTGATACCCGCTTTCTTGTGTATGTAATTTTTTTTTTTGAGCAGGTCCTCTAGGATTTCAAAGATCACATCACTAAGAGAAGTGATGCACAGGCTTCTCCATCTTGTGTCCCTGCTTTGGTTTCCCTGCGCACACGGTACACACTTATTACCATTCTGAGTGTTTCTTTCGGCCCTATCCTGGTTCAGCCTCCTGTTCTGTGCTCTTGTGTTTGTGAAAACCGTCTTCAATAAGCTTTAATGATTACAGAAAATCAAAAGTTGATGCTCTATTAGTTTGCAACTTCTTCAATTGAATTTTTACCCGGTTTCATAGTTTGGTTGATGCTTTGGTTATTTTTTGGGTTAGTTTTTGGTTAGTTTTGTCAACCTTATACAAGTTAGAGTCATCTGAGAAGGAACCACAATTGAGAAAATGCTGCCTCAATAAGATTGGATTGTAGGCAATGCTGTGGAACATTAATTAGTGATTGATGGGGAGAGCCCAGCTGGTTGTGGCTGGGGCTATTCCTGAACAGGTGGCCCTGAAAGCTATAGGAAGACACGCTGAGAAAACCATAGGAGTGAGCTAGGAAGCGGCATTCCTCCCCTCGCTGAGTTCCTGCTAAAGTGCCTACTACCAGATCCTGCCTTGAGTTTCTGCTCTGCGTTCCCTCAGTGAGAGTGTATGTAACCTGAGAGTTGTCAGATGACATGAGCCCTGTCCTCCCTGAGTTGTTTTTGATCACAATGTTTATGACAGCACTAGAAACCCTAAGAGAGCTGGGTAAGAAATCCTGTGTTAAAAGCAATGTTTCATTAGCACCTGAAGATACCACAGGCTCTCAGCTGTTGACAAATTTAAGCCAATCTAACTATTTTTCTCTAGAGTTCTAAATGTTTAAGGTGTTGTATTTTGCTGTATACAGTGGCACACACCTTTAATCCCAGGGCTCTGGAGGCAGATCTCTTTGAGTTTGAGGTCAGCCTGGTCCACATAGAAAGCCCTGGGTTTGCCGAGGCTACATACTGAGAGCCTGTCTCACCAAATAAACAACCGAAACATAGAAATAGAAAAGAAAGAAATAGAATGGCAAGTTCAGGCACCATCTTTTTTCTTTCTTGTGTGTGTTTGAGTGTATATATGTGTTCACACACCTGTGTGGGTCAGAGGTCAAGGTCCAGCTGCTTCGTCCATGCTTCCTCAGCTTACTTATTGGGACAGTTACTCCCTGAATCTGAAACTCATCAATTCAGCTAGACCGATAGGCCTACAAACCCACACACCCTTCCATTTCTGCCCAGCTAGTGCTGGGGCAATAGCTGTGTATTAGAGAGCCTGGTTTCTCCATGGGCATCCGGGACCTGTGGTGGTTGAGTAGGAATGGCTCCCACAGACTAACGTGATTGCATACTTAGTCCACAGGGAGTGGCACTATTAGGAAGTGCGGCCTTCATGGAGGAAGTGTGACCCTGGAAGAAGGCTTTGAGGTCTCACATGGTCAAGCTATGTCCAGTGTGGCACATACTCTCCTTCTGTGCCCGTGGATCAATATGGAGAATTCTCAGCTCATTCTCCAGCACCATAGTTACCTGTATATTACCATGGTTCTTGCCATGACAATAATAAAATTAATAATAATAATAACAATAACAATAACAATAATAATAATAAACTACCTCTGGAACTGTAAGCCAGCCTCCGCTAAATGATTCCTTTATGAGAGTTGCCATAGTCATGGTGTCTCTTCACAGCAGTAGAAACCCTATGAAGACAGGATCCAAGTTCAAGTCTCCAGGCTTCAGGAGCAAGCATCTTATTAACCGAGCCTTACTCCCAGCCTAGCGTCATCTTTTTTGGGTCCATTCAGCCTGAGATGTTTGAAAAAGTCAAAGCAATACCCTTAAATTCTTTTAAAATTCCATCACTAGCCTCTCTCCATTAATTTATCTTATTTTTCTCACACAGAATGCCTGTTGTTGAGAGGCTGAGATCTTTTAATCCTCCCATTTTTTTTCACTTTTGTACTTTCTGAAAGAAATCTCCAACCAGAGTTCTAAATTTCCACCTCTCAGGAGAGGGCTGAAGTGATGGAGGAAGGTCATTGGTTAATTAAATAAAGAAACTGCTTGGCCTCATAGCTTAGAACATAGGTGGGTGGAGTAAACAGAACAGAATGCTGGTAGGAAGAGGAAGTGAGCTCAGAGATGCCATGCTCCCCTCTCCCGGGCAGACGTGATAGATAGCTCTGCTCTCTGAGGCAGACGCATGAAGCTCAAACCCAGGATGGACGTAGGCTAGAATCTTTCCCGGTAAGACTGATGCTACACAGATTATTAGACGTGGGTTGATCGGGATATGAGAATTAGCCTGTAAGGGCTAGAGTTAATGGGCCAAGCAGTGTTTAAAAGAATACAGTGTGCATGTAATTATTTCGAGGCATAAGCTAGCAGGCGGCCGGGGTGCTGGGGACGCAGCCCCGCCGCTCCTACTACTACACTGAAGGTTAGGGGAGAGGCAGGGAGGAGAGCAGAGAAAAAGGTAGAGCTCAATAAAAATCAATTAAAAAAACATNGCCGGGGTGCTGGGGACGCAGCCCCGCCGCTCCTACTACTACACTGAAGGTTAGGGGAGAGGCAGGGAGGAGAGCAGAGAAAAAGGTAGAGCTCAATAAAAATCAATAAAATTAAAAAATATATTTATCAGGTTTTAAAGTAGAAAATCTTTTATTTCTTGACAATTTCATACATGTATGTTATGTATTTTGATCATATATACTGCCTCCCACCTCACTGGGCACTGCTTGAGGTATCTCTAGATTCCTTTTATGTAGTGCTTTGTTTTGCTTGTGAGGATATTTTATGAATATTTTATGAATATACTGTCATCTGCCCTCCCATTGCTTGTCTGTGCCAAACTCCTTTCCTTCCAGTTTGCTATAGTCCCTGTCAGGGTTCGGCCACCCTCTGGAATCCACCGTGGGCTGCGGGATTGTGGTTCATGGGAAGCTGTACATATGGGAATAGTTTATTGATCTGAATATCCCTTTCCTTATTGGGGTTCTTCCAATGTCTCCAGCTCCCGGTGTCTGCTGTTGTGATGGGAAGAGAGCCCAGAGAAAACTGTCATCTAGAGATAGTGAGAAGAGGCAAACAGTGGCTTTGGAATTTACCGTTCAGTGTGAATATGTGCATACCATTCTTCTGTTCTTAATACATTTTCTACTATACCCTCTGTCCCGGAAGCTATTTAGCCCCTCTAGCCTCCTAGAGAGAATGACAAGATCATGTCCATTAGCCTGAAATGAAGCAGAAGCCTCTTGAAGCTGCTTCTCTGGCCGTTCCCACCAGCCTCAGCTTCCCGCCCCCTCAGTTCCAGGCTGTATCCTGACTATACAAAGGGTTAGTTGCCACCTTTTTCTCTGGGCCTCACTCCCCTTTTCCACCTCGATATAGGATTCATCTTATAAAGCAGGTGCACTAGTATTGAATTAGGATGGAAATAAACATTTCCAAGTGTCAAATTTATCACCTTTATACAATTTCTTTATTCCAGTCCTCTACTGGCTTCCTTTGGGATACTTGCAACAATCTCATCTTAGAAATGTAGTTGGCACATGACTTCTTCAACAGAAAGCATCACCATGACAAGTAATAGGTTTATTATTTAACCAATTGTTTTAGTGCCCTCTAATGGCCAACACTGTTCATTGACTCATTGCCAGAATTCTGCCTTACCAGATCCTACCACCAGGGGATGCTCTCATCCTCTTGACATGCTATCTCCAGTGCAAAGGGGTCATTGTCAAGCTATCTTTCCAGACAAAGAAGCAACCAGGGTAGTTTGGAAGGTGCTCAGAGTCAAACAAGGGTAAGAATGTGACTTGAGTTCACCTGGAAAAACTCTAGAACCTATGGTCTGATCACACGAAGCTTGATTGCTTCAACAGTAGTTAAGTCTGTGGGAACTGCCACAGGGCTTATTTCCCAGGCGAGGCATGGGGGCCTCACAGGTGTAAATCCCTTGGGTTCACGTGTTTAGATGGGAAGTACTGTGGAAGGAAAACAAGCCGTGGTTACTCTCAGACTGCATGGTCATAACTCCTGGATGGATGTGAGGTACCAGCAGCTTCCCTAAATTCTTGGCACAAATAAGAATTATGAATGAAAGGGACAGCCCAAGCCCAACTTCACAGCCCAGAACAACCAATGTGACTTTCATAATTTTCCTTAAACCCCTGCTTTATAAACACTATCTCCATGGTTAGGAGCTTCTGATTGGAGATATTTGGACATAAATATACTATTTATATAAATACAGTATGTTAGGAATATGAACAGAGAGGAGAGAGAGTGCGCACACACAAAGACTTGAAAAGCTCAGCTTTGATGACATAAATGTAAAACAACTTTTTGACATAATGTATTTGGGCTCTGGGGTCTTACACTGGGCGAATCACATTGCCTTCTTCCCACTGACATTTATTTCCCTTTTCACAGTTCAATCTCTTTGAGTGTGAAGTACAGGTATGGACTCTCCTTTGAAGCACGTTGAGAGCATTCAATGGCAGTGTATATACATATGACAAGGTGGAAAGTGTTTACTAAGCATCAGCTATTATTAATATGTTACAATGTTGTGTTAATTTGCCCTTTTGTCAGCTGTGACCCCTATTTTACATATCATTATAAACATACATATCATTTACATATCATGGACAAATATGTCATGCTCCCCAATATAAAAAGAAATTGTATAAAGGTTTTAGTCCAGTATGTCAAAGACCTTTGCTAGGCAGTCTGCCACCTTCTCAGCTGGCCTTTCTCTGTTTTCTGTCTTTCTGTGACCGAGGAGCCATGACAGAGGACATGTATACTCTCCCAGAGGAGGGCATCTCTGGCCATTGGTGATAGAACTAATACTCTAGCTTTGTGAGGAACACAGTAGTCAAGGCTTTTCCATATCTCGAACCACAGTCAGAAGACACAGAAACCCAGATTCAGGTCCAAATTATGCAAAGGAAAATGTAGCAGATGCATTGACAATAGCTACGGAGTATGCCTTCAACGAAAAGTTTGTTTTGAGCTCCTTAGGCAGCAGGGTCAGTTGCTGCCACCTTGTGGTCAAGTGGAAATTTCAAACTCAAAGTAACTGCAGTAAGATGGGAGTACATTCTGTGGGGTGAGGCCTGGTCTTGCTATGCAGCCCAGGCTGGCTTTGCTGCCCTCCTGTCCCTGCACCAGAGTGCTGAGAATACAGGTGTGGGCTACCACACAAGTCTCACTGAAAACAGTCATTATATCTGCTCGAAAAAATGCAGGAGAAGCTGGGCGGTGGTGGCACACGCCTTTAATCCCAGCACTTGGGAGGCAGAGACAGGCAGATCTCTGTGAGTTCAAGACCAGCCTGGTCTACAAGAGCTAGTTCCAGGACAGGATCCAAAACCACAGAGAAACCCTGTCTCGAAAAACAAAAAACAAAAAACAAAAAAAAAAAAGAAAGAAAGAAAAAATGCAGAAGATATTTCTGTATTTGTCACTGTATTTGTCGCCCATTTCCAATCTTAAAGGATTAAATGAAATGTGTCTCTGAATATTGGTCACTAGCACAGCTTTTGAAATTATTGCAGGCATTTATTATTTGGCTACCCAATGTGTCTGTCTATATTCATTTCCTTGCCTGACGATCAGAGTGGAGATAGAAGACATACAGGACAGAGGTAATTCTTATATTTCAGTTTCAACACAGAATAGCACTCACTGGTAGTGAGAATTTGGAAATAGTGAGAAACAGACAACCTTTTACATCCTTTTGGGTGCTTTCTTAGTCCTTCAAGTCAAAGAATAGCCATCTAGAACGAACAGACAACACATATGGGGCGGAGGAGTAACGGTGTGTTTATCTAGCATGCACAAGACTGCCCTTACACACACACACAAACACTTAAAACAATGGATATAACTATTAAACTTCATGTTATTGAAAAATGAACCTTATGAAATGATTATGCTATCTGTACTAATTTAAATTTTATTAGTTGGAAATAATTCAACAAGTTATAAAGAAAATCTGAGCTAAAGGAGTGATCACTACTTTGTATATTACAAATTCTTATTTGAACCTAACAATGTGGATGTGACCATTAGAAAGCACACATGACCTTCACAAAGCCACATCAGGTCCCCACTGTGTACAGCTGTCCAAGAGATCCAGGCTAGCCTCGACTAATTAATGTTCATATCTGATGCAAAGTAACCCAAAAAGTGTTATTTTCAGAACAGTTCTTTGTTGTTGCTAGTGTTTATCTTGTTAGAGGGAGTCTTGCTATGGTGTCCAGGTCCTCAGCCTCCCAGGAAGATGAGTTCGCAGGTTGTACCACAGTGTCCAGCAGGTACAATCACTTCTCACTAAGAAAGAGGCACTGAATAAATTACTTTGGCCTTCCAATTCAATAAAACATACATGTGTAATAAAGGGGACACCTGTCTTGATCTTCTCTTCCTTTCTCGAGATAATACTTGCTTATAGCAGTGAACTTACCAAAAGGGCAGGGTTGGTGTGTCCTATGTATGATATGCAAGGCAGACAGCGCTCATGCTAGGGCCCCACGGGTGTCGTGATTCATTAGAGCCTTTTATATCTCTCAAGCGCAATAATGAGGGGAGAAACAAAAGTGGAGTGTCCGGCCTCGGAGAACCCAGCACATCTACTTCCTTTCAGCTGTTATGTAACTTTAAGGGCCCTATGTTACCAGGAAATTTTAGAGATCAAAATTTAATAACCTTTCATTACAATAAACTAAGATGAAAAATCATGGGGGTTTCTCATAAAAGCAGAATTGATTTACCAGGACTTGCCTACGTACCTCTTGAGTATTTACCAAAGGCCGCCATGTCAGCACACCACAGAGACAATTGTGCACCATTGTTTATGGTGGCACTGTTCACAGTAGACACATGATAAAACTACCAGTCTAAAGTACTGGAACGGATGCAGGAAATACGACATATGTATGTGTGTAAATATATATGGATATAAAATGTTTGAAATGCCACAGGTGATGAAACTACATAATAAAACTGGTAACAAAAATATTTTAAAATGAGTGATAGCGGGTAAGATGGCTCAGCTTGCTGCTATGCCTGAGGACCTGGGTTTGATCCCTGGGACTCACTTGGTGGAGAGAACTGACTCCTGAAAGCTGCCTTCCGGTTTCCACACAAGCACTGCGACACATATATGTGCACACACACACACACACACACACACACACACACACCCTACACACAAAATAAATGTACTTTAAAAACCTGAGGAATAGATGGCGGGGTCTCTCTGTGGTCGTACTGTGAAGAACAATGCCTATCTACTCTCATCCCTTCTGAGCTGCTGTTCAGACTACACTGATTCTTCTCATCATTTACGAGGGTATGTGCTCTCTCCTAGGAACGGACCTTCAAGGACTTGCTCACATGTCATGCGCCTCCTCTTCTGAAAGATTTGGACACATACTTAGGGGACAGAGAGTGGTTTATTGGTGATTATGTGAGTACACGCATGTTTAAAAATACCAGCACTTGTATTTAGATAAGATGATAAACTAAAACCTTACAAAGCAAAATGTTGTTCTAGCCAGGCATGGTCATGTCTATCTGTCTGTCATCCTAGCACGTGAGAGGTTGCACAGCAAGTCAGGGCCAGCCTGGGTGACCTGAGCCCTGTCTCAAAAAGGAAAGAAAAAAGAATGGGGTGGCAGATATTACTCAGAAACTATAATAAAAAGAGAAAGAGAAAAAAATCTAAACTTCCCTAAACTTACTCTGTACACAGATCTGATCTGGAGTCATGGAACACTTTATATACAATAATTTTAAAAAGTTAACCTAACAACTACTTAGGGCATGTGTGTGTGCACGTGCACATGTGTGTGGAACCTGTTGGGGGATGATGTGGAGGCCACAGGTTGACTTCAGACATTCTTCCTCAGACATTGTGCATCTTGTTTAGTGGGACAGGATCCCTTGCTGGCCTGGAGCTCACCAGTCAGGCAAGGCCAGCTAGCCTGAGCCCCAAGGCTGTTCCTGCCTCTGCCTTCCCAGTGCAGAGATCACAAAACTGCGCCATGACATCCAGCTTTTGTACAAGGGGTTCTAGGGCTCAAACCCGGCTCCTCACAATGCTGGCACGGCATGCACTTTACCAACCCAACTATCTCCCCAGTCCCAGGAAACACCTTTCATATCAATTCACTACAATCAGACCCATGATAGGATCCTCAGAAAAACAAACCCACATGCCACTGTCGGTAGAACTATTAGCAGTTCTGGGCTCTGTTGGTATTGTTTTAATGACATTATGATTTGTACACAGGGGAGTGCAGTAATCGGAAATCACATCTGAAGTTACTAAGAAGCAGGGTCTTTGGAGTGGGAGAGGAGGAGACAAAAATAATCCAGCTATCATGAGTATTCCTTATATCCAGATTCTAGTCTCCTAAATAAGTAACTGGGGATTTGTAGACTAGTTGGATGTTTCTCTCCTGCCTGGCAGTGCCCAAATAACCACTCTGAAGCTTAATATTAATTACAAACTGTTTGGCCTAACAGCTCAAGCTTATTATTAGCTAGCTCTTAAAAATTAAATTAACCCATTTCTATTATTCAGTATTTTACCATGAGGCTTCTAGCTTGCTAGCTCACATCTTGCTTCCCTGGCATCTGCTAGCATCTCTCCGACTCCACATTCTCCCTCTATCTCTGTTTGGATTTCTGACCTGGCTCTATTCTGACTGGCTATTGGCCAAATCAGCTTCTTTTTTATTGGCCAATGGTAATAAAACACTGCATACAGAAGGGCATCCCATACCAGTGGACAAATGACTTATTCCCAATTTGAGTAAAGAAATATACTTTTTCCTACTAGAAGTAAATAAATTTCCATTTTTTGTTGTTGTTGTTGTTTTGGGTATCAAAGGATTCAGAAGTCAGCCCAAGAATGGCTAGAGATGGAGCAATATAGGCTTCAATGAGAATATTAACAGCAGCAAATTTAAACAACTCAAAACAAAATAGAGGGGTTTATGATAACTTCTGCTATATCCAAACATACAAGACAGCCCCCAGCCCAGTTCCATGTTTGCTGTAAAGACAGAAACCTCTCAAGAACAGACACTAATGTGAGAAACTTGGTCTTCTGCCTTTTTCTGCAGGCAGTACACATTTCTTGTCAGAGAAGTACCCTAGTCATAAGCACAGGACTAGAATCAACGTCATCACTTTCCAACCCCAAAGAAGCAATGGGCTCAGCTAGCAAATGCCAGAAAACACCCATATCACAGAGGGACAATGGGCAGATGCTACAGGCATGCTTTTGGAGCAGGGACATAGCCACCCAAATCAAATCTGACTGACCTCAGTGCTGGTGTAGGTGGGGTTTCTCCGCCTTTGGGGCTATTGCTTGTGAAGATAAGAGAAAGGGTTCTGTCTGTGGCTTGGGTGGCTCTGATCAGCCTACCTTGTCCCTACACCTCCTCAGCTTTCCAGCACACTGCACAGACCCTCACTTCCTCCCACTTTCCTTTTCTAAATTGTCCTTTCCCTTCCCTATTTCATGAGTATTTCTAATAACTGCTTTTTTAAAAATTCCTATTAAAATCCCTTTGTAAACCACTCCATCCCCATTCCTGAGCGTTCTCTCCCTCTCTCCCTCTCTCCCTCTCTCCCTCTCTCCCTCTCTCCCTCCCTCTCTCTCTCTCTCTCTCTCCCCCTCCCCCTCTC